ACCTACCGCGTGGGGGCACTCGCAGGCAAAGGCAGCCAGAGGAAGGCCAGGAACGCACAGGCCCTCTACCGCTCCGCCGAAAAAAAGTCGGCTGCGGACTTTCTAGAAGACAGCAGCAGCAATAGTTGGGTGCGCTCCAGTGAACTCACACTGACAGAACTTGGCTGCTCGAACCCAAAACAGAGAGCCCAGCCCCTCACCCGGATGCCCAGCCCACCGCACCCGGGCCCCCATGCCACCCCCGGCGAAGGGGCCAGGCATCCCCTGCCCGCCCGGAAGGGGGTGCGGCGCGGGGAGGAAGGGACTCCAGCACTGCGCCGTGACCCCGGGCGGGGACAGAGGGCCGAGAGCTGGAACGAACGTCGCAGGAAGGCGGGCAGCTCCTCGGGCCCGGGTGCACGCCTCGAGTCCCGCTCGGTCCTGGCGCCGCCTCCAAATGGGACCGGGGCCCTAGTTCTCTCTCTTTTCGTTTGAACAAGAGCCCCCGTGAGCCCGCTGCCTCCAAACCGTTTGCTCGTGAGGACGCTCCAGGCCATCGCGTGGGTCGGAAGCAAAAGGTCCGAAGGGCGGAGGGAAAGCGGTAGCCACAGAGGGACCCTGCTGCTCCGGCCCTCGGGGGCTTGTGACCTTGCCAGCCACGTGCGGCACGGGCGACGCCCCATTTCGCGCCGTCTCAGGAGGGCGGCCGCCCGTACCGAGACCAGTGTCCTGCAACCTAGCCCGCGCTCGGGGCGCCACTGGACACTGTCGGGGGCCATTGTCTGAAACGCAGAATTCGTGGGAGTGGAATCCCCTTGCCTTGACCCGTCCCAAACGTTGGGCAACACAGGAAACCGTGGGGTCCAGGGGATGAAAATAATCCGCTAGGTCCATCGGTCCGCAAAGGAACTGGCGGGTGCAAGGGCAGACGGGCGGAGGCAGTGGGGAGGCGCCTGGAGCCTCCGTGCACACCCACCCTACGCTGCCTGCCCGCTTTCAACGAAACTCGCATCCGAGGCCCAAGCGCGAGGCCCGGTGGGAAGAGAGCACTCCGGGACCGCGGCCGGTCCACTCCGGGCTTCGGGAGGGCGAATGCGCCGATCCCCGACCTCGCTATCCCCCGGGATGCCCCAGAGTTCATAGCCCGGTGTGCGGAGCTGCGGGGAGAGCCTCAGTCGTGCAGCCCCAGGGCTGGAGTCTGCCTAGGGGATTTCTGCAGTAGCCGGCAAGGAACTCTTCCACATCATCCCCTGCTTTCCGAAATGGCGCCAACCCACAGTCAGGGAAAGCGTTGGGAGGCTGGTGCGGAAGCTTTCCCCCTTCTCCAAAAGTCCCTCCAGTGGCCGATGTGCCCGCCCTGAACCGGGTAGTAAGGTGCCACCTGCGGGGGCCCTCAGCCTTGCTCTGGGGAGCTTCCGGCCCAGTTCCAGACATTAAAGCCCCAGATTGTCCCTGACCGAGAGTCTGCGTGCGGCAAAGGCGTTCTGTCAGTATGACCACACCCATCCATCCGCCCCGCTGCCACCTTCCAGAAAGTCGATCCCAGAGCCTTCTAGCACACGTTGGAAATGAAAGAGGACATTGCAATGAAGCCCAGATTTCCACAGGTCTACGAAAGTTATTTTTCCTCCCCAGCCATGGAGCTTCTCCTATTTGTGTTTGATGAAACGTAAGTGCAGGCCTCTCAAGTATGCCTTAGGGGAAGGAGTAAGGGATTCCGTGAACTGGGGTGGGGTAAGTCCAAGGCGCCTGGCACCCACAGGCCTCTCCAACAGCTGCTCTGAACACTGGAACTAGGGGCTGGGATTGCCCTAGAGTCAGGCTGGCGGCTATTCAAATCCTCACCCAGTCATCTCCCAAGTCCTCTATCCTATGGCAAAGACTGCCAGGGAGGGGGCTTCAGAGCAAAGAAACACTAGCTGAGCTTGTAACCTTTTTAGGTTAGCAGGCACTCAGCTGCTGCTACTGACAAGAGGTTCTAGCCCAGACCTGCTAGAACCGGTTAGTTTCCTGCAAATATGAGGGGAGGGGAGAACTAGGGCATATGGACACACACCCATACATTGGGCAAATGGAGTTACAGGTTTTCTGTACTTGTCCTGTAATGACTTTTCATATGGCACATGCTATATTATCTAAGGTGGCAGGCCCCAGTCTGTTCTCCTGGCAGATCTGACTCTTGAGCTTAGCGTCCAGGGGTCACAAAGAGGGCAACGGCAACACTGGAAGGGACACTGAGTCTGAAGCTCCAGAAAAGTTCCAGAAAATCCGCCTTAGCTGAACACAGGCGGGACCAAGTCCTGGTGGAACTTCCATCTTGAAACTCCAGGGGTCCAGGGAGGGGCATGTTCATGGTGAAAGCTATGGCTGAGGTTGCAAAGATTACCTGCTTTTTCAAGGTTAGTATTCATACGCTCACCCCAACCCAGAACGATCAGGGACCTGAAAGATCACTCAGGCCTCATCTAATTATGACAGAGAATCAGGTGGAACAGACCACAAACGGGCCCAAAGTTCCACATCAGGAACTGACTGCCCTATCCCATTCACCTGCTCCTGATGGAGTTCTCCCCCACAGCCCTGGCCTGACATTGCCAAGATGTAAAGTGGCCATGGCCAGAGCTGGGACCAACCTGCCAGTCATTAACCATGTGGCCAAAGTAGAGGTCTTGAAAAACATAGGTTGCCTCTTTGCGAAGGCCAGCAAGGTGATCTCTGAAACTCAGTGTATCCAGGGATAAGTAAATTCTTCCCCGGGTCTCCCAGAATCCTCAAAAGCCAGGCCTGGGACGAACCCTGTTTAGCAGCACACAGGGCTCTGGATAGAGTGGCCTGGATGCAGCCCACAGGCACAGACTCTGAAGATGCCACCTGGATTTCTGCAGGAAGCTGTCCCTGGCACTGGCTCAAAGTATACTTTGACATCACTGTGGTCTCAACACACCAGGGTAGGCCCGGAAGGAGAAGTGTTAGGGACAGTCCCAGGGTTCCATTCTTCCATGCATGCAAACACCCACGCAACGACCCCTAAGACTCCTAGAATGCTTGAGCAGGAGGGACCTCTTGAGGGATTAAAAAGACACTTAGAGGAACAGGAGCCTTGTTCATAGACAATAAGCAAAGTCATAACTTGAACCCAGGACTCTGGATTCCCATTCCAGTGCTCCTAGCACAAACTTTTGAGAAAGCTTAAAGGAGTAGAAATGAAGAAGCGTTGCCTAGACACAGGTTCCAGTCTTAAACTGAGGGCAGAGCCTGGGCTTTGTATTGGCTTGGATCGTGGTACCAGGAGCCAGATCGGCTCAGGCCTGCAATAACTCATAGCCAAGTGGGGAAACGAAATGGGAAGGACCCGCGCAGGAAGAACTCAGCCCCTGGATTTTCAAAAAGCTGATAACATCAGCAGCCCTTCTCCCAGAGAACCAGCAACACGTGTTTCCACACCGTCCTGACAAAGGAGCAAAAAAACAGGACCCCTTTTTAAGCCCCTAATTCCTGAGCTCAGCGACCGGGTTCCCATGCTGGAAGTGGCGGGAGCTGAGGCGGCGCGGGTTGGGTGCGGGGGGGGGGGGGGGGGGGGTCGGGTCTCCACTCTGTCCTTCCAAACTAGCCACCGGAGAAGCGCCCGACCGTCCTAGGCTCCGGGCCCTAGCCTCCCCGTGGGCAGACGGCAGGAGCTTCGGACCGGAGCCAACTTCTGTAAAAGCCACACGGAAGTGCTGGGCGCCGCGCGGGCCCCGCGACCCGTGGGACCCGTGGGACCCATGGGACCCGTGGGGTTAAATCTGAGTCCCCGCCCGGCAAGGACTGGAGAGCGCCGAGGCGGGGCGTCACCAGCCGCGGGGCAGCTGGCCGGGTTAGGAGAAGGGGGAAAGGCGGGATCCTCCAAGTAGATTCTCAGGCGTCCGCCTACGGTCACTGCCAAATCTTCCCCGCTCCTCTTCCCGGCTCCCTCCCCCATTCCCTCGAGGGCTGCTCAAGTCCGGAGTTCCCTAGGATGGGGGTGGGGTGCAGTCAGCAGGAAAAGCCAAATCTTGGAGGAGCATCCGAGCAAGTCCAACTTTCCCATCTCACAGGCCGGCTCCCGGGCAGAATCTACCTCCGCAAACAGTGGCCCCAGGAGGGGTATGGTGACCCGGAGTGAGGCGGGGGCGCCCTGCGGAGTCTGCTAAAGGCTGCCCAAAGTTTCTTTCCCTTCGAGGCTTCCTCCACCCCTCTCTTCCCTTCCTCCCGGCACCCCCTTAAACAGCCCTCCGCCTTCCCTTGTCCCCTCTTCCCTCCCCCGCCCCGGTCCTCCCCTTTTCTTCTCTGCGTGTCTCCACTCCGCCCCCCTCCCGCGTCCGTCCCCTCCCTTGCTCTTTGGGCGTCCGCCCCGTCAATCACCGCCGCCGCGGGCCCCTGCCCGGCCTTCTCCGCCTCCCAGGTTCTTGGAGCGCCTCCGGCTCCTGTCTCGGGCCGCCCTCCGCTTCGCGCGGAGCCGGGAGATCTGTCAGCGGAGCCAGCCGGGGGGAGCCTCCAGGCCCGCGGGGGCTCGGGTTACCAGTGACTGACAGCGTCTCCATGGCGAATAATTTGACTCCGACTATTGTCTGGCGCGGGCAGGCCCCGGGTCAGATAACCAGACCAATCAGGGTGCGGGCCGCCGCGCCTCATGCCCGCTTAGAATAATATTATTAAAAAAGCTGCGAGCGAGCTAGACGGGAGGGAGACCGAGTGAGAAGCGAGCGAGGGAGTGCCGGGCGGGCGGACGCGGAGCATGCCGAGCGGCGCCCCGGGCGGCCCCCGGGCTTGGATGAGGGCACGGGAGAGGCGCGCAGGCGACGGGGACACGGAGCTGCTCCGCAGCCGCGGCCGGTGCGGAGACGTACTGCAGTGACTCGGAGTTCGCGCGGAGCCAACGCCGGGCCAGGGGGCCCGCCCCGCCCGCCCCTCGGCCCGGACCGCCCGGCGGGGAGGCGCCCATGCCGGACCGCGCAGCCCGGTGAGGGCGCGCGCGGGCGGGCGGGGGCGCAGCCGGCATCATGTCCATGCTGCCCACCTTCGGCTTCACGCAGGAGCAAGTGGCGTGCGTGTGCGAGGTGCTGCAACAGGGCGGCAACATCGAGCGGCTGGGCCGCTTCCTGTGGTCGCTGCCCGCCTGCGAGCACCTCCACAAGAATGAAAGTGTGCTCAAGGCCAAAGCGGTGGTGGCCTTCCACCGCGGCAACTTCCGCGAGCTCTACAAAATTCTGGAGAGCCACCAGTTCTCGCCGCACAACCACGCCAAGCTGCAGCAACTGTGGCTCAAGGCGCACTACATCGAGGCGGAGAAGCTGCGCGGCCGGCCCTTGGGCGCGGTGGGCAAGTACCGCGTGCGCCGCAAGTTTCCGCTGCCGCGCTCCATCTGGGACGGCGAGGAGACCAGCTACTGCTTCAAGGAAAAGAGTCGCAGCGTGCTGCGTGAGTGGTACGCGCACAACCCCTACCCCTCACCCCGTGAGAAGCGAGAGCTGGCTGAGGCCACGGGTCTCACCACCACACAGGTCAGCAACTGGTTCAAGAACCGGCGACAGCGCGACCGGGCAGCCGAAGCCAAGGAAAGGTACGAGTAAGTAGAGCTCCAGCGCCTGCTTCTCGTGGGCTCCCGGGAGGAGGTCGCAGGGCATAGGCATAACCCCCAGGAGAGGCCCAAACTGGGCCCCTAGTCACAGCCACTGACCGAGTGAATCCTGGCCTGAGGTGGATGGCGCTCAGATCTTTCGGGAGACCCAGAGGGCACGGATTTGTCTAAAGCGGGCAAAGCAATTGGGTTGGTTGTCGACTAACTCCCCTGGTCGTTTATGGGCAAAAATGGAGAAGCAGTGAGCTTCAAGGCAAAGGCAAGACAATGATCGTGGATCGCCTGCGAGCAGAGCACAGCAGGCAGGGCCTGATGGTGCTCCGCAGGACTGGGAGGATTCGGCCTAGGACAGCTGGGGTTCCGGATTTCAGGGGGCCTGTGCAAATTCACTAAGCACCTCCCAGCGCTTTCTGTCTGCTATACTCAGCTCTCGGCCAAGGTGTGATTAGGGGTTAGAACTGGGATTGGACCTTTCCTGGTATGACCTGTATGTGGAGAGAGGGGCCTGGGCAAGAATTTCCCTTGTCTGCATAGGGGAGTCGGTAGTGAGAATCTTTTATCCCGCATAGAGAGGATGAAGAGACAAAAAGCTTGGGGAGGAAGTGTCAGCTCTGGGAGAGGAGAAGAGAAATGCATGCCCCTTTTTCAGCCTTGTTGGACCCAGCAGCTGTCCTCGCCTGCCAGGCCCTGGACCCCTGTCTCCTCTGGTCTTCCCCTCTGTGGTGGGTAGGTGGGTAGGTCTGGGGTAAGCTGAGAGCAGCGGAGAGGCTGTGAGTTGCCTGTCCTCAGGGAAACCAAGACTTCTTGAACTAGCCCAATGACTGACCTTGCGGCTGCCAGCCCTGTTGCCCGTCAGAAACCCAAATCTGGGGTGGAAAGTGGGAGCATAATCCAGCCTGAGGGCAAGAGTGAAACAAGGTGCCTGGGCTTGGTGGTATGTGATGTGTGCAACCCCGAGTTTGCATGATCAGGGTTTGGGGTGAGGACAAACAGTGGAACCAGGTGTCCGGAGGCAGGGGTAGCTTTCTGGTGGACCCTGGCATCTGAGACCATGAGGTTAAAGGATCCAAAGTTGTAAAGTCTTATCTACCAGCCCTGTGGGAAGTTCCATTCGAGGAAAACAGGAAGAAACGGCTTTGGGAAGCCGGTGAAGAGAATCTACCCAAGAGCTCAAATCTCCAAATCTGGCAGGGCTGTCAGTCAGAGGCAGGGCAGAAGATGGGTTCTTCCTGCTGGGGTCCCCATCTACCCAGAATGGCATGCATCCAGCCTCCTGATGAACTTGGTTCTCAGGCCAGGCCTGGGGCGGGGGCTGAAGAGTCCCTCCTTTTCTGGTGTGATGGGGAAGTCTGGGCCAGGATTAGGAGTCCCCTTCATTCTCCTTTCCCTTTTCTCCAGTGAGCCCTCCAAGCTCCCTGGGTCCAGTCCCCCAGCCGAAGTTTTCACTGTGCCACCAGGGAAAGGGAGTCCTACATCCGCAGGGCCTTGTACCTAGGCCCAGCGAGGCCAGCCCTCCCCAGGCCTGCCAGTTTGAAGCTAGAGGCAAAGGACCCTGAGCTCCAAGAATCTGCCCCGCAGTCAGAGATTTCCCTCAAGTACAGAAAAGCAAAAAGAGATGAAGGCCTCTGAGATCCCCAACTTTAAATGGGGTCCTGTGCCTAGTATCTATAGCATTCTCTCTCCTGGCAAACGCTGGATTGAGGAGCCAGGAGTGATCTAAAAAGCCACACACCTTCTCTTCCTCCCTGTCCTAGACACCCACCCAACTTCAGGGAGTCACGCTCCCCTATTCCTCTGCTCTGGGAAAGAAATGTTAGCAAGTCAGTTGAGGGACTTCCATTCCAGGAAAACAGGAAGAAACGGCTGAGGGAGGGAGAAGGAACAACATATAGAAAGCAAGAAAGATTTGTATGAGATTGAGAGCATGAGAAGTGAGAAGATATGATACGGGGAGACGGGTCAGAAAGAAATCGGTGTTGAGAGATTGAGAGCTAGCAGAAAGAATGAGAGCCCCAGACCAGGCCAAAAAACCATGGTAGAAACCGAATACCCGTACGCAGCCCGCGGCAGCTCTGGCTCCGAGGAGGACAACAGGCTCGGGCTCCAAGTGTCGCGGCGCTGAGCAGCCTCTGTTTCCCCCCTGACCTGGCTGCTTTGCTCCTGCACTTGCAGGGAGAACAGCGAGAACTCCAACTCCAACAGTCACAATCCGCTGGCGGCGTCGCTAAACGGCAGCGGCAAGTCGGTGCTAGGCAGCTCGGAGGACGAGAAGACGCCGTCGGGGACGCCAGACCACTCGTCGTCCAGCCCCGCGCTGCTGCTCAGCCCGCCGCCGCCTCCACCCGGGCTGCCGTCCCTGCATAGCCTGGGCCACCCGCCGGGCCCGAGCGCCGTGCCCGTGCCCGTGCCCGTGCCGGGCGGAGGCGGCGCCGACCCGCTGCAGCACCACCACGGCCTGCAGGACTCCATTCTCAACCCCATGTCAGCCAACCTCGTGGACCTGGGCTCCTAGAGCCCCGCCTGCCTCGACGCTCTGGCCTTCCGGGCTAAGGCGCTGGGGAATTGAGAGAGATGGTGTCGAGAGGGCTTCCCGCGCCGGCGGCCCCACCAGGTACTGAAAGACCCGCCCGCGATCGGGCAGAACCGCCGGCCCGGCAGGGCCAATGGCCCTCTGGTTTAGTCTTTTTGGGGGGATTTATTTTCAACAAGTTGCTTTTGAGATCCTTCGGAGGCCTGGGACCGGGTCTTGAACCAGGGAAGAGAATAAATTATACACCGGTCTTACACTCTCTCTCCCCTTCTCACCACTTCTCTTTTCTTCTGTTCTCTCTTCCCTTCTTTGCCCTTCCTTCCTTGCTCTTCTCTTCCCTTCCTTTTTTTCTCTTCTTTTTCTCTCCCCTTCTTTACCCTGTTTCCCTCTCTATTTCCGGCTTGCCTGTCACCTCTCACTAGATTTCTGTTTCTCTCTCTCTCCCTGCTTTTATCTCTGCTCTCGCTGCTAGCCTCGTGCATCCTGGCCCCTGCATCTGTGCCCTTCACTCTTCTCCCTCCTGCCTGGTCTTCTATCCTTCCTCTATCCCTTCCTTTCCTGGGATGGGGAGTGGGAAGAGGAAACGCAAAGGAAAGACAGGGCCTTGGACCCTAGGCCATCTCCAGAGGCCCTGGAGGGGAGGGGGTCACTGGGACTGCAGGTGTCAGCTTTGCCCTAGTAACTTAAGAGAAAGAGAAGGGTGGCGAGGAGAAGCCCTGAAGGCCCCCTCACCGCCGGCCGCTTGCTCTCCATGCGGCTCTGCTGTGCACTCTCCTCGCCCTCCCGGGACTGTGGCCACAGTGCTCCCGGCGCAGCGTGCCCACCGAGCCGCGGACTTGCCGTCTCCCTGTTACGCCCTCATGTGAATGTTCTTCGGGAAATATTTCTGCTTTTATTTTATAATAAAATTAGAAATGATAAATATATATATGGATATATACCATGAGGCCCGTGAGCCGTGAGTGCAGCAGTGTCTGATTTCCCTACAGGGACTCACCGCCCCAGAGGACCGGTTCTGGGCAACGATGCCCCATGAGTCCAAAACCTGGAGACTCCTTCCCACATACACAACGTGTATAAGTCGAAAAGTGGAGGAAAGGGACCGAAAATTCGGAAACCTTCTCCAAAGCCCTCTGTCCCTTTCCTTGTCTGCACAGCTCCATGCAGAAGCAGGGAGGGGGAAGCCCACTCCCCTTGGGCACTCCTTTTCCCCCACCAGCCAAGCAGTGCCCTCACCACCTCTTTGTTAACCTCGAGGACTCGGGGACTCAGGCGGGAAATGGGAGGCTGTGTGTGGGGCATGGGTACCTGTGCTGGGAGACGCCAGGGCTGGGGAACAAATCGAATGGTGGAGGTTTCCTGAAAGGGCGCACTCCTTAGCGATGATCGCATTCCCCAGATCAGGGTGCGACACCCTGGGGAGATTCGCTGGCCCCAAGGGCAGCCGCTCATCCGCTCCTCAGGTCTCAAAGCCCGAGCCTTGTGAGTGTGACCATGGAGCGAAGGTTTCCAATCTCAGAAATCTGTCGTTTTGCAGTGGAGATGAAAGGGTGGTGCGGAGAAAAGTAAGAGGAGACTCTGGGAGGCCGGCCGCTGGGGCGCGTGTTCTAAATGGAAAGAAGACGGCGCCGGGGCTTGGTGGTGAGCCGAAGGGGCTCCTCCGCGCGTCGTGCGCCCTAGGTGCCTCTGTAGCTGTAAATTAACCTGCAGCAACACCTCCGCTCCGAGGATCCAGCCCCCCGCCCCTCGCAACTCCCACCCCCACCCCACCCCCACTCTTATTAAGCGACAAGTCTAGCCGGTCCTGGCGTAGCGGGCGGGACTCCTCGAGGAGGAAGTCAAGGCTTTTTAGGTCACGGTTGACTGTAGGTACCGAACACATCCCACCTCGGCGACCAGGATGTTTGGGACCAAACCTGCCGGTCCGGATGGGAAGGGAAGGACGGGATGCGGCGTTCTTCCCCCAAGGTGATCCTAGAGCACGGGACATTCTCTGGCCTTTCCTTCCTGGTATATTCAGCGCTCGCCGGAAACGCTTTCGCCCTAACTTTCTAAGGATTAAGGATTCCTTCCCAGTCCAGACCCTCGCAGACGCGGGAAACTGAGTGGGCTAACTTGGCTCAGAGGCTATGTCTTGGGCCTTCGCTCTGCACAGGTCTGGGAGTCAAGAAAATGAGCCCGCAGCCGTCTAAGACTGCTCCCCGTGAGGCCGCACGGAGTACCCCACACCCTGACACTGCAAGAGGAATTCCAGCCCTGGCAGCTCTCTTAGCTTCTCCTAGAGGCTCTTCTCTCAGAGGACAACGCGGGTCCTCCATGCACCTGGCCTGCGTTTATAGGGCCAGAGTGGCCCGACCTCCGATGACTGTCAGGGTGAAGAGTCAGCTACTGCCTGAGGGCGCAGAGAGGCTCACAGGACGCAGGAAGCCTTCTTGTGTCAGCCAAGGCCAGCTTACTTCTGGGAAGGGGGAAGCACAGGAGCGCCTGGAGCCCACAGCAACCCACCCTCCCCCTATTTTGCAGACAGGCAGACAGACAGGCTGTGTACCAATTTTCACAAGGGCGCAGCATACACTTTATAATTTGATTCGCTAGAACTGAGAGCTTGTCTGTGTCAGGCACTGTGGATGACACCAAAAGCACTTACCCTCTCACACGTAGTGGCCACATAGGGAAACACACAGGCTCACACATATGTTCACATGCACACATACACGCAGAGAAGCAAACACACACAGACCCTCAGCCCATTTTCACAAACACACTAGCATATCCCCAGGCAAAATAAACACACTCTTGCACCCGATATTTGGGAGATACACACACAAATGGGCTCCTCCCAAATACATGTGCTCACACATACAAACACAAAGACATCTCCCAGAAACACACACATCCACACTCACACTGGTGCCCCTGCCAACAGTCAGTCCAGCCCAGCCACCTGCTGGGGCCAGGGCTCAGCCTTGCAGTGCAGCTTTAGGGCAGGGCTCAGCACCAGGCCACCGAGTCACCGAGATAGAGGTGGTTCTAGACCCAGGCAGTCAGGGATCCCACCTGTGCACCGGCACCCCCTCCCCAGCGGCCTAGGTGGGATGGCTGGCGTTTGCCGGGTGCTCACTGGCCAGTAGGGGGAGAGGTGCCTGTCCTCCAGCTTTATTCCACAAAGCGAACTCCAGTGCAGACCCCACACTATTTGCTGCAACTTCCCTTTTGCATCCCCCTTGGAAAGCTAACCCCAAAAGCATTTATTTAAACACGGGCACTATGCAGAAGTTCTGGAAATAAACCCAAATAGCTACTCGCCTACTCCTTAAATCAACACCACCCAGTCCTCCAGGAGGGAGCTTTTGCACAGAGGCAGCCAGGCGAATGCCTCCACTCCCAATCTGAGTCCACCAGACAGGGCTCCCTTTTGCCCCTTCTCCTTGCAGCAGCACCAAAACCAGTTTTGCTCCAGTGACCAGCCACCAAAGGGACACAGCAACTGAAGTTCAAGTGTCCTTTTCTGTTCCTGTGACTGCATTTGCCTTTCTTTTGTTCCCAGGTCCCATAACCATACAACTCTCAAAGGCTAACCCAGTCCTTGGGGGCAACGGGCCAACTCAGCTGCTTGGGGGTATAAAAGCCAGGGGCTACTGAGAGGAGAGGGGAGCATGGGGGCTCTCCTTACTTCCTAAGTTTTCGCCTACTCCATCCCCACCCCGTTCTGGTACCTGCCAAGCCCCACACTAAGTGATCCTTTCCAGGACTTGGCTCAGACTTGGACCCTGGTGTCCCTGACCTGAAGCACACCTACAGGGGGTGGTGGGTCCACCTGGGGTGCAGGTAGTGATGACATGCCACACATGCAAAGATTGAACAGAGCCATCAAGATCTGGGGAGAGACACCAGGTCCCAGTCCTCAGTTTCCCCCTGTCCTTGTAGGAAACACCATTTGGGCAAAAAACAGCTGAGCGAGGGCACCAGAGTCTGGGGGCAGGGAATTATCCCCCATGACCCCAACATCACCCATGTCTTGCCAGCGTGCTGCCGGGACCCAGGAAGGAGAGAGATGTGTTTCCGTGTTGAATGGCAAGTGGAGAAGGACCTGGAGGGACTTGGACTCGAGATCAGGCTCCTTACTTTTTTTTTTTCCCTTGGTCCCCATCCCAATGCCCCGAGGACACCCAAAGCTGCCTAGGGACACTGGAAGGGGACTTGAACCAGTGTGAACAAGTACCTGAGGATGTACTGTGACATGGCATGAGAGACAGCGTGCAGGCAATAGGGCGATTCAACGCTCTGATGTGCATAGATGGGACGGTCCTGCACCATATAAGTACAAAGGTGAGCGGCTGAGCCAGTGCACGCCCAGGGCACTCTGGGGAGCTGGAAAAGTCAGGCCACGCCTGAGCGCTGCTCGAAAGCGGAGGTGCCTGGGGCTGGAGGAGGACCAGCCTTTCCTCTTGCGCAGCCAGGACACAACCCAGCGCTAGTCGATCCTGATTCCTGGAGCCTTTGCTGACCCCGGCCGGTGAGCGAGAAGGGAAGGAGGATCTGGGCCGCAGCTGCGGGGGCGCAAAGCTGCAGAGCCGAGCCTGGTTGCGAAACACCTGGAGTCCTGGTGTCAGGGTTAAAGGCTCTAGTGCTGCTTCCTGGGAATCTCTTCCTGGAACCCCGCGGGCTCCTGTGCAACTGGAACTTGAAAATGGTCTTCGGGGTTGCAGGCTGGAATCAGAGTGGAGGGGGTGAAATTGGGTGCCCTCCAATAGGGTGAGTTTTCCACTGTTTCGCCACAATCTCAGCAGCAGGGCTTGCCCTCCCTTCAGGTAGAGCCGGCCGCCCGGTAGTCCAAGAGAGTCTCAGTAACACCGTACGGATGCGCCAAAAGACCTGCCTCTCGAGGGCGACAGGCGTCCCCAGTTGCACCAAAGACTCCCTTTCTTGGAGGGACCCACAGACCTGAGGCTGGCACAGGGTGGGCATGTAGAGGCAGGCCTTCTTTAAGACGCTAGCAGCCCTAGCCCCTGCCAGGACTGAATTAAGAACTACTAGCGGCCCAGCCCTCCTGGAGTGCCAAGCACACCCTCACTCGCAGAGTAGCGATACCAGCGCGGACTCTGGCAAAGCTGCTGGGAGGATCCCGCGGCTCCGCCTGAATCCAGCGGCCGCAACCTCCGTAGTCCCGACGGCGCGCTGGGTGCCAGGCCCGGCGCGGCCTGCCTTCTGCGGTGAGTAGCCCGCGCTGTTCGCGGTATCGTGCAGCTCTGGGGCCCAAAGGCAGGGGAGCTGGGGACAGCGGCTCTGGACAACCCTACTCCTGGGGCCCTTTGAGTCAAAAGCCTGGGAGCCAGAACTCAGGAAGCTCCGCAGGCGACAGGGCCATAGCAACTGTCCCCGGTAGCCATCTTGGCTCAGGGAATTCTACCTCTGTCATCCAGGGTACCCTGGCCTGATGGCTCCCGACCAGAATTCTACAGAACCACAGAGGAGCACCGCTTCGGTTGCCCCTGCAGGGGACTCAGACTTTAGTCGCCTGAGATCCCGTAAAGAGAAAGATGGGCCAGACTGGAAGGCAAGAGCAGCAGCAGGAGCGGACCTCAC